AGACAGCCAATCCTACAGTGTTTCCTCTACATTCCCAGTGTCCCCACAGGATTTTGTGAGACTGTGATGAGTGCACATTGGTTCCTCTAGTCTAGGGGGGTTCTGCGGGTATAAGAAAATTTTGTTCATTTTAAATTTTTTTCTCCTCGTCTTTTGTTGTTTGATTATCATTAATGCCAACACTTAACTCAAGACAGGAGATGAGAAAAAGATTCTCAATGACCAAATACATGACTGCAAAAATTAATTTAACTAATCATCTTATAATACATGTCATTTCAGTTCTACTTTCTGAGCATGAATTATCATATGCAGTAAAAACAACAACACTCAAGCTCTGTAAAAGGTTTTGTTCAACTGACTGGCATCTCTCCTGTATGATTTCATGTGAGTCTCTTCAGACCGTAGAACTGTACATGAATTATGAGCTTCTAGAACGTTTGACCTCCTAACTGAACTCCTTTTCACAAAGTGAACATAGAAATAAAAACAGTATAAATAACAAAAAAATAAACAAGTTTCTTAGTCGTATTAAGTGCGAACAATAAGTGCTCTCTCTATAGTGCAAATAGAGACCAATTTTTTTCAAGCATGACGCAGAGCTATAGACAACTACAAAACCTATTATAGCCTACATACTAATAACAGCCTAGATATGTTATGTAGCCTAATGTGTGCGCATCAGGGAGTCGCTCTCAAAACACAGAGTATTAAAATCGCTTTTGAATGCGCGTGTGCGTTTTACTTTCGGTTTCGATTTCGATTTAACGATCGTGCGAAGTTGGCGGTGCTGAGCGTTCATTCTACAATACAAGACATTAAAGGGGTCATATGATGCAATTTCAAATTTTCCTTTCTCTTTGGAGTGTTACAAGCTGTTCGTGCATAGATAAGATCCCTAAAGTTGCAAAGACTAAAGTCTCAAATCCAAAGCCATATTCTTTATAAAAGTTAAGACTTGTCCATGCCCTCCTAAAACGCCTCGTTTAAACACGCCCCCACATGTCTACGTCACGGCAGACGCCTCCGGAGCGCAAGCGCTTGAACGCTTTGGAAAAAAGCAGAAAGCGGCGCCTAGCGTTTTCCACGCGTTTTTAGGCACGACATGTGAATGGTAAGTCATTATAATCCGTAATTATGTCCCCACTGGATGCAACAAATGCCTCGTTTATAATGGGTTTTAATGTTTT